AACTCCGTCCCCGGTCCTCTGTAGAAGAGCGCGAACTTGTGATCCTCGGCCTGATCCGCGGCTAAAGACATCGAGTGATGTTCCAACGTTTGGTCGGATCCCGAAGATGCTCGAACTCAAGGAGCGATCGCGAGGTCTTCCCGAAGATCTCGCGCTGATTGACGTTCACTCACTTCAAAACTTGGCGGTTTTTTCACGTCTGTCTGAATTAATTCCATACATCGACAGGCCCACGACCGCGATTTCTTCCGTGGATTTTGTTGACAAGGTCTCCGTCAGCGCGTAGACTATCGAAACCGACGTTTGACTGACGTGTTTGTCACGCTTGAATCCTTCGACTCTCACCAACTTCTATTTCATCCTCTCTCTCGTGCGCATGTTCACCCGCGCCGTTCAGTGAAGGCCAGGACGTCGGGACGGGATCAGAGATAGGAATAGAACAAAGACTCAGTCAGTCGCTCTTCTGGCCAATATTCGAGTACACAGATGAGGAAACACGACGGCGAGGAGGATCCGTTTTGACACCCCGTGATGTCTTCCGGTGGTTGAGAGTTATTCAGAGCTCGCTGGAGCCTCATCACAGATTCACTGCAGTGTTCAAATGGGAGGATCGTCGACGTTGATTTCTCTAATTCGGAGCTCCTCGCTCCCGGCACAATGTTCATCGATTATTCACACAATGAATTGAATAGAAGCTCCCGGTCCCTCCCGACCCGGTCGCGCCGCGTACTCTCGAGCAGATGGCACGAATTTCACGAAATCACGTCTCTGTGACGGAAGAACTCCGGAGCAGCTTCCCGGGAGGGAGTCGACATTCAGTCGCCGTGCACCTCGAGCCCCGGTCTCTGCTACCACGTCTCTACGCAAGGATGGTAGTCGCGTGCGTACTCTGGATCGACTCGTCGGAGCGCGAGAAAAGCTCGACACGCAATTTTCGACAGCATTGTTTAGAGCTGCTTCCTGTTTTTATCCCCGCGCAACGTTCAGTGTCTCGATCGTCTCACAAGGGGAGTGCCGAACATGTAACACGCCGATCGGGCTGAAACTTTGGTCATAGAATCCCCACCCCGAGAGAAGTTTAACCCTAGGATATTATCTGCGTATGGCCACTTAAAGGGTGTTTAAATTTTTTTCAAAAATCCGCCCTTAAGCATTGACTCTATGGGAATAATGGAAAATACTATGAACAATGGACGAATATTGGATCTGCCCGAGATATCCGAAGACATAATATGTTTTTGGATCGCCGGATTCAAATTTGGCGCATCTTCATGAGGGGTATCGACTCCCAATTCCTTCGAAACAGCCAAATAATTAGAGCCAAATTTCTACATAAACGGAATGGAGCAATTTATTCTG